TAGCTTTTAGCATTATTTTAAAAAATCACTATACTTCAGGTAAATAAAGAAAAAATACAGTAAAATTAGATTTTAAGGATTCATCAAAATCTGGATTACTCATTTCAATTAATAGGAATACCTTGTTCAAACACTGTGAAGGTAACAGAACCAAAGGAACACAGCATTTTACTTTCAAATTCAGTATGAGAAGTAATCCATCACAATTCATTTAAAAGAAGGCTGCTAGAAAGTTTTCAACTTAAATTTAACAAGCCTAGGAATTTATCTGGTACTTATTCATTTCTGGAACACAAATCATAACACATATTACCATAAAATTAGTTTTCCACAATATTAATAAATAGGCTATATCAGAGAAGCATCAAACAAAAAATAGTAATTAGAAGTTTAAAAATCAGAAAAAATTTATTCAGTTAAATAGTTCACTCCATATTCAGTTCACTCAGAACATTCCTCTTTTGGTCAAGCAGCGCAATTCACTACATACTAAAAATAACACCATATTTATGTACAAATAAATGAATTTTTCCAGTAAGAGCTAATCTCCTTTTAAGAAGATTTCCCACATATTCACAGTACATAATATCACAGAACACCCATATTTGGCCTAAATGTCTCTGAATTGTAGCATTACAAGATGGAAGTTCATTGTGCCTGATAATTTGATTGAGTTTTGCCCAGATGTCTTCCAGAGTTTGATGGTCACAAATGGTATGTTCTATTGTCCATCTTGCTCTATAAAGTGAATGTACATTTAATGCCTTTAAACTATCTTGCAATTTTTTAGACAAAGGCAAAATCTTTCCAGTGCAATTACTGCTGGGAAGGGAAACACTCCAAGATCTCCTCTTGCGCCGTTCTCCTGATTGTTTATCCGGATTTCCAGAATCAGTCTGCCCATCCAGGGTGTATGACTGCATTAAGTGCTGCTTTTTCAAACTAGGTTGAAATTCCAATAGATCTACCGTGCAATCGTAACTCTGTGATTTAACGGCTTGTTCTGAACTGGTTAAGGATTGTTTCACATCTTCAATGGCCTCTCCAGAAATCACAGGTGGTGATCTTTTAGGTTTGACTGGAAATTTGGACCCATCATATGGGAACCAAGGAATAAATCTTGATAGTGGACGAGTAGGAAAGTCTTGAATTGCTTTTTCTGCAATTTTTGGCAGCTGTGTGGGATCACTCTCATACGGTCGATAATGTAATATTATTTCTGTAGTCATTCTGCAGTAATCCAGTCACTCTTAAGGAAGAGAAAATGTCTTAGCTGAACTCCTCAGAACTAGAATGTAATTTATTATTACAAGACTTTCTTGCCCAATCAGAGGGAAACAGGACCTAAAGTAGAAGTATTGCAAAGAATAAGATATGGTAGGAATAGCCTGCATACAAACAGGCAGGGAGAAAAAGAAAAACACACAAAAAAATCAATCCCAACATGATATTTTATCAAAGTGCTACTTTGATAAATGTGAATCACAAATTTGAAAATCCTCTCACCAAAATAATGAATCTAAACTAGATGTCCTTCAAGATCACTTTCAGGCTAAAAATGCCAGGAGTCCAGATGTTTAAATCAACAGATATAAAGGATTTGAAAGTATCTATTAAGTAATAATAGTTCTAAGAATATAGCAAAAACAGAGTAAAGTAGTGATTCTTAAAATATCACATTCTGGGGCCGGTGCTATGGCATAGTGGATAAAGTAGCTACTTGAAGTGCCAGCATCCCATATGGACGCCGTTTCGAGATCTGGATGCTCCACTTCCAACCCACCTCTCTGCTATGGCCTGGAAAAGCAGTGGAGTATGTCCCCAGTGCTTGGGCCCCTGCCACCCACGTAGGAGACTGGTAGAAACTCCTGGATCTTGTTTTTGTATTGGCCCAGCTCAGCCACTGCAGCCATTTGGGGAGTGAAACAGTAGATGGAAGACCTCTTTCTCTGCCTCTCCCTCTCTGTAACTCTGCCTTTCAAATAAATAAATAACTCTTTAAAAAAAATAAATTATCACATTCATAATGACAATAACAGAAACGTAATATGTACAAATTTGAGACATCTGAATTGAGGACAATGAAATCACTGTAAATTTGAGACATCTGAATTGAGGACAATGAAATCACTGTAATTTTTAATCTATGTGGGTGAAAAGAAATCATTTTATATTTTAAAATTAAATGAATTCCACCAAAAATACATAGAATATTTAATGATTTTAGCTCATTCTCAGTTATCACCCCAAACAGGAATATAGCTTAATTTTTCATTTTAACCAAACTAGGAACTGGTTTTGTCAGATTCTTCTGTTACAACCAGAGCACTTAACACAGTATCAAGGCCCTAGAACCGCAGCTTCTGAATTCCAATCTGAAGCAGGAACAAGATGTTTAGATTCTTATTGTATTCTCTTAGAACACAACAGTCCTCAGGTTGCCCCAAATAAAGCAATCAATAATAAATTCCAGCATCTAGCACACAGGCTCAAGAATGGAGTCTTCCAGCTGACCAGATCCAAAGCACTAAGAGTCATATGCAGGCTCTACTACTTTAAGAAAACTAGAATCCCTTTGCCACAAAGCTCACTGCAGAACTACTTAATGAGGGTTTCGCCATTGCCAGCTAGAGTGGAGATTCCTGTCATGATGTCATAACAGAACCACTGTTTGATTCTAAAAAGTCAAAAGTAACCAATTTCATAATGTTCTTTTACATACTATTAATGTCCACTAACAGAGCTGTCCTAATTCATAGTGACTACAGTTCTTTACATCCATAATGTTAACATAGATCCATAATTTTAACGACAATATATTCTTTCAAGAATTAGTAATGATTTCTTTTTCTTTCATTCTTTCTTACACTTCCATACTCTAAAATATGGCACTAAGAATCTTTTCTTTGTTGTTATTTGAAGTTATTCAATATTGTACTCAGGGGAAAACTGAAGTTTTAAGAGCTCCTGTTAAACAAAATTTTTCTCATTTCAAGATTAACAAGGTGTTATCTTAACATTTCACATACTAAAGTACAAGAAAATAAACTTAAATGATCATTTAGATATATTTAGCATTCAACATCAATAAAATTAAAATTTGTGGAAATTCTTGATTCACTAGGATAACAGGGAAGAACAGTACCAAAGAGTTTTCATGAAGCTGCAAATATCAGGAAATGTTACAGCATTTGCCTTTTTAGGTCAGTTAAGCATTCTTTCCTATGTAAATTTTGTTTTGAGAAATAAAGAAACAAAACTAAAAATCTCTAATGGCAGTCTCCCTATCACCAGAATTTAACTGTATTTACAAGCTTTTGATTTGTAGAAAAACCACACCTCGCAGTGAACAGAACTTGCAAATTCCCATCGAAGTAATTGGTAAAGGAATAATCTTTGAAAATGCTGTTTCATTCTTTAGGAAACAACATGGCATCTTGGAAAGATGGAGGCAGGCCTCGTGTTGAAATACTGCCTTAAATTACTCACCAGACTGTTTAACTTCTGAGAGCAAAGTAATAACTATTCTACTACTTGATGTGATATTGAAAAATAAGAGACATAAATAGTTTTTTTTCTTCTTTTTTTCCAGTTTACCATGACTAACCTCATTTTAGTCTAGACCATTTGTTCACTGCAATTATACTTAACACAGTGACGTTTCTTATTTCTGCAGTCAGAGATAGCCTTGTTAACTCCAGGCATCAGAATGATTGTTACAAAGGGACTGGCAAGCTTCCAATCACGCTTGATGTCTACATCTTAACCTGGAGTGGGTGGGCGTAAGGATGATGCAGTAAGGAAGGCAAGTGAAATTCAACGGAATTCAAATATTTACTGAGCATTTCATCAGCTCAGTCCAAGAAGGCCTTGGTAACCAAAGAGTAGAAGCATCCAAGAGATATGCATTTGTGATAGCAGAAAACACAAGAAACAAAGCTCAAAGCATTTCAAATATGAGTTTCAGAAAACAGTCATTCAAGGAAATTATGCCTTGCTGTTTCTTTTTAAATAATACAATTATCAGACTCAGTAAACTTGCCGTGAAGTTTTGGGCAAGTCTCCAACATACCAGTACCCAACAGTGATCCCTTGGTATTCCCTAAGGAGCGCCTCCGGCTCACCCTGGGACACCACAATCCCAGCACGCTCAGGTCCCTTATGTAAGATGGTGTCGTATTTGCATACAACATAAGAACACATTCCCCTACACTTTAAATCACGTCTGGATAACTTACAATACGAGAGGGACAGAGGAAGAGCGCCTCCATCTGCTACTTTATTCCCCAAATGCCCCTAACAGGTAGGGCTGGACCAGAGCTGAGGCCAGGACCCCGGACTTCACCGCGTCTCCACGTGGGCGGCAGGTACTTTGTAGTACACAGTGGTTATACCGGTTCAGAAAATACTGATAGGAGGAAAAGCTTGCACACCTTCAGCACAGACATAATCTGACTCAAGTATTTGCGATCTGCGGTTAAGATTAGGAACCCAATGCGGTGACGGTCAGCCGTACATTTTAACAAATCTGCGTTACGCGTAGCAGGGCTATGTATTGCTAAATCCTTCGCAGAGTTGCTACGCAGTGCTAACACCCCAGATAAACCTGAAACCTGGTAACTTCCCAGTGCCCACTAAGAGACGAGAGACGGAAGGAAAAGCCATTTCGGATGTTTGCTTTAATGCATCCCGGTTCGCAGAGGTCTCCCCAGTAGGGGCGCGGCCTCGGCTCTGCATCCAAACATCTGGTGACTGCAGCAGCACAGGTCAGGGAGAACGACCAGGTGTCTGTTTCGTTCCAGAAAGCAGCTCTGAAAGCGAAACGCGAAGAGGCCAAGTCGCCTCCTCCTGCTCGCGCCGGACGCAGCGCGGGGCGGCGGGCACCGAGTGTTTTGAGGCCTGGCCCCTGTCACAGAGGTCGCGTCTGTGTGGCAACGGCCTTCGGGAAACTGCGAGAGAAGGGAATAAGACAGAACAACGGTACCTCGGCACACATTTACCTTTCAGCGCCAGCAGGTGCTCCTGTTTGGGGGGATTCACTTCCATTTTGACCGGCACGTCTGACTCCAGGCCTACGGGGGCTGACGAGGTTCAACTTGGCCCGGAAGGGAAAAAAAGCGTACGTCGGGCAGAACAGGCGTCAAACGTCCTCCCAGCAGCTTCTTTGTACCTTAAATTCTCCTTTCACTGCGTCCTTTACGGACCCAACGGCTTCTTTTCACCAAAGCCATCCTTTGGCTCTTGGAGATCTGCACAGAAAATACGGCGTTTTCCGTCTACGATCACACATTGCGACTGGAAGCAACCACTGTAACGATACGCGGCCTCTTAGAGATTAAAAAAAGGGCGAGAACGTGGCATGCCGGGATTTGTAGTGCAAGCAAAAGTCGCGTTGCATGAAGGGAGATGTAGTTTCCGCCTTGGCTAGTTTGCCATTAGAAAGCCGAACTCATAACCGGGCTGGGAATTTCACCTTTAAACTTTACTTATGTGTTATCCATTTTTTTTCCTTTGACTTTTTTCTTTCAGCAGTTGCAGGCTTCTTAGGAACAAAAACAACACGAGCAGGACTGTGCCTCCAACCCAGCCGAGGCTGACGGGAGGCGGAGCTGCTGGCGGGAGGCGGGGCCGCGTCGTACTGGGCCTGTGCGCCAGCGGCGTGCGCGGAGGCCTCTGGGTAGGTGGCTCGACCCCGCCTCCCAGGTGAAGGCTCCGAGGGCTGCTCCTGCGCCGCTGTTCTCCCCGGGATGGCTGCTCTGGTGGTAAACAAGCCTGGAGCTGGGCCGGACAGTGGCCGGCAAGGCAGCCGGGGGACGGCCGTGGTGAAGGTGAGGGACTCTGCGGACTGCGCTCCCCGCTTCGGCCGTCCTCCGGCTCATCCGGGAGACTTGGGCGGCATCCCTGGGGCCCAGGCGCGGCCGCGGCGTCCCTGTGTGCCTGGCAGGCAGGTCTTGGCGTCCCTCCGTCCGCGACCTGGATCCCCGGGCCCGAAGTTGCCGGGTCTAATCCTGCAGATGCCAGCATGCACAGCGGGGACGTTTGTGAGAGGGAGCTGTGGGCCTGTGGGAGTGGCCCGGACCGCTCTTTCTGTAGCCCCTCTATCTTAGTTGAGCCTAGGAGGCGTTAACTCGCTTGGTTTTGTAGAATTGAGCCATTATAGCCTCCAGGTACTGTGTTAGGGGTTTTAGCTGGCTGGCATCTACTCATGAGGTGGATGCTAGCTCTCGTTTTGCAGGAAGGAAACCCAGGTTTCGGTTAACATGGTGTGCGACTTTAACGCCTGCGGCGTCCACTACGGCACAGCTTCTGTGATTAGACGTCTGTTACTGGTGAGCTGCGCCTTTCCCGCTTAGCCGTACAGCCTGTCGACATGGTTGAGAAGTCTCCAATGGCAGTACAGTTGAATCTTAACTCTGGGGTGCCTGAATGGCCCTATGCTGGAAGGTTGGGATGCTACCATGTATAATGCTCCAAAAATGCACTTACCGAAAACTCAGTTGAAACACATGGCACTCATTTTCCCTGTACTCTGAAAATATCGGAGGATTTGACAGAGAGAACTGATCTGAATGGTTCATGCCAACCTTCGGGATTGTCAATGTTATAAGCAATTGGTAATACTATAAGCAATTGGTAATATTATAGGCAATTGGTAATTCTCGTTCCTGACTGCATGTCAGGGTCACCGAGGCCTTTTGTGGAGGAATGGCGCACTTCTGCGGTTATTAGGTTGGCGTTTCTACACATATTTCAGTCCCAGAGTGACTTTGATGTACAATCAGGGCTGAGAATTGTTGAACTAGATAATATCTGAAGTTCTTTTGACCTTTTGCTTAGTAGGCACTTATGTTTTCTCACCTAATGTTGGTTTTATATAACAGCAAGTGACACATTTCTGCCCACAACTTAGTCATTATTATTGCTTGTTGATTCAGCTGACCTTTATGTAGTAATTAAGTTATTCTGAATATATAGAGCAGCATATCTGAGATACAGAGGAGCCCTCATTATTAGGCATGTTGTATGGGTGAGATTTTATTGATTGAATTGTGCTTTTGATAAATAGAGAATACCTGAAGATTATTTGTGAATTGACTTGAAGTTTAATTCCATAATTGGAGTATCGTTTACATTTCTGTTACCTTGTTTGCTTTATAATCTGAAAAAAAGTACCAAAATGTGATGCAGAATTTGTTACAGAATTTGATATATTAGAAGCATTTTTAGCATGTTCATTTTTATTTTAACATGTAAAATATTCTGAACTGTGCAATAAGATAGTCCTTTTTGATGAAAGAAGAAATTCATCAGAAAGTGAAAGTTGACATTTATAATGCTAATGCTTTGTAAAATGCTGTCTTGTTTAGTGACCAAGTTGTTAATGGCAGGGTTTTTATTGTTAGGAAAAACAAAATCTGATATTGCAAAGTTATTTACATTTTAAAATTAATTGCAAAGTTTCTTTTGTTTCCTAAGCTTTCTTATAGTCCTTTTAAAGTATGATCTGGTTTGTTCAAATTCGATTTACATGTAATAAGTTGAAATTTTCTTGTGAAGTATGAAATTTACCACCCCCCATCTAGGATTTAATTTCTTACACTGTTCTCTTCAATAACTGTTCATAGATGCTGAGGAAAGACTATCTACTAAGTTGATACCTGAATAATTTTTGGACCTGTGGTTGGCTTACTAAATGGAATTATGCTAATGGTTTTTGAAAAAAAAAAACCTATAGTAACAACATGAGCAAGTTACCTTGTTTAGTGATGGGTCAGAAGTATAAGTGTGAATGAACTAAGAAAGTTTTTTTTTTTTTTAAAGATTTACTTTATTTGAAAGACAGAGTTACAGAGAGAGGTAGAGCCAGAGAGAGAGAGGTCTTCCATCTGCTGGTTCACTCCCCAGATGACTGCAATGGCCAGAGCTAAGCTGATCTGAAGCCAGGAGCCAGGAGCCTCTTCCAGGTCTCCCACATGGGTGCAGAGGCCCAAGGACTTGGGCCATCTTCTACTGCTTTCCCAGGCCATTGCAGAGAGCTGGATCAGAAGTGGAGCACCTGGGACTCAAACTGGCACACATATGGATGCTGATGCTGCGGGCCAGGGCTTTAACCTGCTGCGCCACAGTGCCGACCCCAAGCAAAGTTTTAATTTTATTCTTTTGAGGTTATTGTCAGAAATAAATTTAACATGCAGTAATCAATAATGAGAGCATTTATTAAAATCTTAGATTTATTTTATACTGCCTAATTCTATTGTGAATATCTTTTCTGTATTAAATTTGATGAAGTGGAGCTTTTGTCTTCCTTTTTAAAACGATGTAGACTACCAATGCAAAGAAGTGGTCATCAAAGAGGAGGTACTTTTCTCTGAAGGGAAGAGAGAACTTCTTGGAAAGAGAGAGAGAGGGAGATAGGGAGGGAGGGAGAGAGAGGGAGAGAATGGTTTTTACTTCCTTTTGTGGATTGTGTTACATTTAAGTTTCTTTTGAAGCATGCTGCAAGGCAATTATGCATTATCAGTTTGTTTACAATAAATGATATTTGCATCTCAAGCATAAAGTGCAAGTTATTTGCAGAGTTTGAAATTATAATGGATGTAGTTAATTTCCAACTGGGTTGTCTGTTTTTAACCTTGTTTTGTGTGTTTGACAGTGGAGAACTGAATTGTCTTTAAGCTTTTATTTAGTTAGATTTTATTTGTATAAGCACATAGGTGCTTGGTATTTGGAAAATCCTGTACCTGAGAGCTTTTTGGTCTAACAGGGAAACAGTTGAGTTCCAGGCTTAGATCTGGCCTAGCCCTGGCTATTGCTGCCGTTTGGGGCGTGAACCAAGAGATGGAAGATCTCTCTCTCCTTTTTCTCCTCTCTCTCTCTCTCTCTGTAACTCTGCCTTTCAAGGATAATAAATAACTTTAAAAAGAGAGTAAACTATAAATGTGGATGTTTTGTTGATATCAAAAAGTTGTTTTCTTAGATCCTTACATTTTTTAAATTGCCATTCTAGTCTTAAACTTTTGTTGCTAAGTAGCAAAGACCTTTTATTTTTCACTTTCCTTTATATTGGAAAAGTATGAACACTGCATTTTTTTTATTTGACAGGTAGAGTTATAGACAGTGAGATAGAGACAAAGGTCTTCCTTCCGTTGGTTCACTCCCCACATGGCTGCCATGGCCGGCACTGAGCGGATCCGAAGCCAGGAGCCAGGTGCTTCTTCCTGGTCTCCCATGAGGGTGCCGGGGCCCAAGCACTTGGGCCATCCTCCACTGCCCTCTGGCTGTATTGCATGATTATTGAAAACTTTTTAAATAAACACAATTGCCTTGTCCAGTTTTGTTGTAAAGTGGCAGCTTAAGGTGCATTGTTGATATGCTTTATGATATATATTTGGTACGTGTGATAAAATGAAGCTTTAAAAAAAGATAAAAATAGGGGCCAGCGCTATGGCGCAGTGGGTTAGCACCCTGGCCTGAAGTACCGGCATCTCAAATGGGCCCGGTTGGAGACCGGGCTGCTCCACTTCCGATCCAGCTCTCCGCTATGGCCTGGGATAGCAGTGGAGGATGGCCCAAGTCCTTGGGCCCCTGCACCTGTGTGTGAAACCCCGAAAGAAGCTCCTGGCTCCTGGCTTTGGATCAGCGCAGCTGCAGCCATTGTGGCCAATTGGGGAGTGAACCATCGGATGGAAGACCTCTTTCTCTCTCTCTCTCTCTCTCTGCCTCTGCCCTCTCTGTGTAACTCTGACTTTCAAATAAATACATAAATCTTTAAAATAAAAAAAGATAAAAATGATGTTAATTACAACATTATCTTGGTGTCTAACAGTCTTCAGGGGGCTTTCGGTATGACGTGCTTTTGGCAGGGTCTGTTCAGATGGAATGACTAAAAAGTGATTTAAGGTTTTACGGCTTCAACAGTTTTTCATGGAAGATTAAAAGTAATAGGAATGATTCAGTCTATGAGAGTACTTCAAGTTGATGGAAAATGGAACTGAAAGATAGCTTTATTTTGTGTGAAATTTTATTGAAATCCATGCATGGTTTTTTTTCATAATATACATTTTTCTATTAACTTTTTTGAAGATCCATTGCATGGGTTTCTAAATTTGTGCCCCCAAATAAATGTTTAATCCCATTTTTCCATTGACTT